TCGGCTCCAAAGACAAGAAGAAGAAAGAGAGGAAGAACGTTTCGAAGGATGATTTGAAGCGCGAAGAGGACGAGGCCATCAGGAAGATAATCGAGGAGAAAATGGACATTCGGTAATTCATCTATGCTCTCATTTGCAGTCGTGCTTTGGGTTTGAATTACGTTCATCTGTGCAATATGTAAACAGAAAATTCAAATAGATTGCATAGAAAATGCTGATATTAGTCATAGTACGACTGAATGTGTTAGCGCGAAAAAATCGAAAAATAGATGCTCGCCGTCATTTCTTATGAATTTTGCAATCAATACGATGACCACTACACCGAACAAGAAAAATTAATTTAACGAGAAAGTCAAGATTTGTTTTCTAATGCAGTATTCTCCGTCGAATGATCAGGTCTCTGATTTCGATCGAATCGGTCAATAAACGTTTCCTCGATGGTAAGACGATTTTCAATGAGTTTATGAGAAACCGGTTTTGAAAAGTATAAATTCTTTTACCGATTCGGAAATAAGCATTTTGAATTGAAATCTCATATTTTTATCCATTCCACGAAAGACCATGATGTCTTCGTGTCTTCATGAAAATGCAATATCTCAAATTTCAAGTTAACGATTCTTCGAAAGAATTTACAAATGAGCGAAAGGCTCGGCATTTTCAAATGTTGAGAAAGCTGGAAGGCCCTTAACGTGTGTCTTATTCAATATTGCTCTCTAGAGGAGGATATGCCAAGCCTACATGGAAAGACGTTCTCATCGTGCAGCTTGTGTTATTGCCGTATACGATTGGTCAGTGGATTAAATTCCAACTGAGCTGGCTTTGGCGATTCACTTACAAAGGAGAGCCACTCGGTGATGCGGAAAAGCTGTACTTGATCCGTCGATATATGGGGAAATCTGCTTCTGAATTCGAGGTAAGTGAAGAAAATCCCGGAATTTTTCTCCACATAACGCTTCCTTTCATTTCCCAGGCGTTGGATCCAAAGGATCACGAGGCATATATTCGTGAAGAATTATACGTATGGGATAATTTCAAGGTTAGTCTTTCTAGTTTCATCGCGTCATTTTTTTTTCATTTCGAGTGTGGGAAGCAACTTGTGCTTGGATCAGTGAAGATCTCCTTGAGTCCCAAGTTGGTGAATATATTCAAGAACGGTTTTGAAAATATTAAGGAATTGAGGAAATTCGCGAGCTTTATGATCAAAGCTCCGTCTTTGCTCATCGCAAACAAACGTGATTTAGTCTGGGTAAATGTTGGTTGTCGAAATGTAATTTACGATTGTATCCTGAGGCATCTTAGATCAGTCGTCTTCACGTCAGTACAGAATCATGCAGTGGTTGATGGAGGCATTCCAGTTTCGGTTTCATATTTGTAAACCAGCAATGAGGACCAGTTTTTGGAATTTCCAAATCATATCTGACGTGTCATCCGCCAATTTTCACTTACTTCCGTAAACCTTTGCTCATGACGATGAGACGAAAAATAACTGACGTTTTTGGTGTTGAGTTAATCCTTGGGCTTTTCGTATTCTATATCTCAACTAGGCATCTGTTGAGAATATCAAAAGCTGTAGTCCTCTCGGGTGAATGTTCTGCTTAAACGGGATAAGAAATGGGGTCGATGTTGACGTGATTTTTTAAAACTGTATCCGTCTTTTCTGATGAAACGCACGTTGATTTCCAAAGACTCCGACATTGAGCCCGATTTCATAATCGCTGTATATTTTAATAGGCATGGAAAGAGGAAGTGGAGGAAGAAGAAAGGCGTGCCTTGGCTGAAAATGCGCGATACAAATCTTTCCGCCGATACATGAAAAATCATGGGCCGGGACGTATAACTTTCGATGACGATTAGATTAGAGAAGAATTCATTCCTCGCATACTTTCCAGTGCTTTCCAGCTGCTTGCATTTATTCCAGGCGTTTGTGAAAAAGCCGTGTGTAATTATGCTCTTCTGGATCTTGAGTGGTTTTTTGTTTTAATTCTTCGTTGGTGAATAATTTCAAGCGGTCGTATCATTTTCCCTGTGAAACCAAATGTCTTCCTTGTCGATTGACGATACTTTTTTTTAATAACCGTGTTCACGCGAATATAAAATGTACTTTTTGTTTTTTATCCGCTAAAATATAGGATGCGTTTTAAATGTGCACTCATTCAATGTCTCGTGAAGTAATTTTACCGATGGGAATAATTTTGAAGCATAACCTGAAAAAAATACAGAAAACTGAGTAATTTATAAGAATGAATAAGAAAATGGCGACTTTCAACTCCGAGTATTTGATTGTGGTGGGAAATTATTAATATTACATTATTTTAGAAAAGTGACTCTTCATGCGTCCGTTTAAAACTTTATACACTTTTCGATCCTTAGTGTAAGAAGGGATTTTCTTACTAAATTTTCCAGATATAGTTTCTCCTGGGTTAGGGTTCGAAACTTTTGGATGCATTTTGAAAATGGTAAAACCAATTAAATTATTCCCGCACGTCAGCTGTTAATGGCGACGGCGTCGCGCGAA